TAGGAGTAGCGTGACAGTCGGGGGCAGGACTGAAAGTTAGCGGGACGATACACTGGGGGGTAGTTTAGTGCCCAGGGACAAAAGTAGAATTGGCTAGGGACCCAGTAGGACTTCCCGGCAACTCCGGCAGGCCCTGGAGTTTTTTAGGCTTCGTAGAAGTCCAGTAACTGCCAAAAAGGAGTCACAAGTGTTCAGGCCCGTGCCTACCATCTTCACCAGCATAGAACGCCCGGTCATTATCGCTGCATCTGGACCGAAAGTTGTGCCAAATACAGCTATAATGACCAGGCGTTCTATTCGGGTGAAGACAGTAGTTAGATGCTAGGCTGGATACAGGGCCTGAGGCCAAGTTGCAGACTGAAATGATGTTCCCGTCCAACAAAACGGGAACACCAGCTATGCCTACCCAGCGGAGGCCGAGAGGTGGTGGGAGGTGCCCGCCCAGGAGGTATGGGAGGTTGGGCAGCCAAAGTATATCAGCAGGTGAAATGAGTAGAGTAGCTCTCTTCGGTTCATTCTTCAAGTGAGCATTATGCTGCTCCGGCCGGAGGGAGAAGCTGATGGAGCACTTGAGAGGAGAAGGTGGAGCTGGCGGGTGATCGTGAAGACCTCCATTGCTATGTAGTAGTAGGGAGGAGGTAGAGGTAGACCTAGGCTATGGAGGTGAGGGAGATGGACCTCTAGCCAGGCTATGGAGGAGTAATAGCGGTACAAGGATGGAGAAAGCGGGAGCTGGGAAGGATACTCACCTCTCGCTATGGTGGACTTGCATCTTCGTCTCCAAGGTAGGCACAGCGTCTAGAAGGCCCCTGAGGGGGGTTTCATTGTACTGTGCACATGCAAGCTAGGCTGGGATGAGCCGCCATAGCCAGATGGCACACCAAGGAGAAAGGGGTGTGGGAGGTCAAATGAGGGCTTTTTATGTTGCTGGCAGTAAGCGGGCGTATTAGAACATTTGATTCTGTATTCTTCTCTCAACTTCTGTTTTTTTTGCCTTTCACTACCTACTCCTAAGGCTATCCTAGAGGGGACCCCTGCAAGCATAGTTTCCTCTCACTGTGAAGGGGAGATCTCATGTTGCCCCTTGCCCCTAATGTTTAGGGTATAGGGTTGGGGCCGCCAGTGGGGGTCTGGCTAACACAAAGACCGAGACCTGCCAGTAGCTGCGCCTCCCTTTCTCATCGTCCCGCACCCCTCATCCAGTAGCAGCAGTAGTTATGGCCAACACTCTCCCACACAGCACATACAACCCACTCGCGCTCGCACTCACACACCATGTTGGTCATAGATTCCACTAATACCGATCAGGAGTATCCAGAGGACTATCCCAATTCGTTGGCACTAAGTGCGCCGCAGGCGGTCATGGGGCTTGAACCCACAACCTCCTGAATGCCACTTGCGTGCCTTAACCAACTGAGCTAGGCCGCTGGATATAATAATAAAGAACAAGGAATGAAAGAGCCAGAACATTTGATTCTGGCTCTTTCATTCCTTGTTCTTTATTATTATTATTGTTGATAATAAGATGATGGTCGAGACGATGACGGGGAGATGGTGGAGGCGAGATGAGGGAGAGATGACATTGGCTCCAACTTGTGTTTATCTCCTTCTTCTTCGATTCTTGATTCTCAATCATTCTTCTTCCTCCCTTTCCCTACTTCTCCTTTCAACCTCTTTCATTTGAGTTGCAATTTAATGGCATTGTCTCTTTGTGAGCTTTGCATTGGGAGGTGACCAGGAGACCAGGATCATAGCAGGATACATTTCTCTCGAATTGTTCGCCATATGATCTTATACAGAGTTCCGCGATTTACGGCTCCAGGGCCTTCAACCGCTAGGGGGGCTTCGATATAGGTACCCATCAGCGGCTTCTTCATTTGCTCATGCACATTCAATGCTCGCCTTCCTCGCTAAGTCGTATTACATCTCCTGACCCCTTCTCCCACCCTATATATGCCATCACAGCCACCGCCACTGTGAGCTACCGATATCCATCAGTTTGATCAGCTTTGATTCTGTCATCATTGGTCACCAACACTCACCGCTCCACTCACACACACTCCACCGCATCCACCGCTGACCCCCCCCCTCTCCCC